TCATCTCAGAAGTGTGGTTTTTCTAGAATGGTGCCCATAGTGTCCAACCAGGATCCCAGGCCTGTAAAATCTGGTCAAAGCCAAGACATTTAAGCTCCAAAATCTGCAGACTCAGGAAAAACCAAGAAGGGTGCTCGGCACTTACTGGTGGCCTTAGGGCAAAGTCCAGACACTTCATCCTGCCTGCGGAATTTCTCCTCCCCACTTCCCACCTGCAGATCTGTAAGCCAGGTACCCTACTCTCCAAGAGAGAAAGATCAAAGGTCTTTGACAGAGGAAGGAGGTGAGAGACACCAGGAGATGGATGAGACCCCCCCCTCTGGTCCTCCCAGTTGGGAGTTAGCCCCGACGACCCGACCTGCCTGCCTAGCTTGTGAAGGGGCACAGCAGCTAATGCCCGCAGGGGGTCAAATGATTGTATTTGGGTGGGTGCTCGCCGACAGATTTGCTGAGTAAACCTCCCTTGCTGTGCTGAAGGCGAATCCCCGTTGATAAATCCATCATTACCGTTTGGATTCAGGGAGGCAGCCGCGCCACTAAATTCATCTTACATTTGTAGCGCTTTAATAGACATTTATTAAATGCTTTTAGAGAGAGGCATGGGGCGCCTGATTACATCCTAGTTATAGACAGAACATAAAGACCCACGTTAACACCCATTTGCAGGAAGGAAGGAAGAGGTGGGGAGGGTTGGTAAGGCAGAGGGATGAAGCGTGGAGAGATGGGGAGGGCGGGGGCCATCGAGTCTGGGGTTATTAACAAGGCTTGCCTGCCGAGACAAGGCACAAGGAGAGAGCCACGGGAAGTCTCAGGCTGTGGAGGGAAGCTTCCTCTCCTCTAGCAGCTCCGGGTTTCCCTTCCCTTGTCCCCATCAGTTTCAGCATGGGGGTCTCCTATTTCCTCTGTCAGAGCATAAGGGATGCCTGCGATATCTCTGCGCCTCTCTTCACTTTATTTCAGGCCTCTCCAGCTAATCTAGAAAGAAATAGAAGGGGTATTCTGAACTTCAGAGTCCTAGGAACCCCTTTAGGGCATCTACTGCCTCACACTAAACCTTCAGCAATATAAGCAGATGTTTCTGCCGCCTAGCAGGGTAGCCCCACTGGCTTAGAGGACTCTTTGGCCTGGCAAGTTGTACAACAGGATCTCTCCTCTGGCCAGCACCAGAAAGGACTCCGATGCCCACTTTTGAGCACTGGACCATCTTTTAACTGGAAAGTTGTCCTGGGCTAGCTCTCTGACCTACACACACACACACACACACACACACACACACACACACACACACACACTTGAGAGTTGAGCCTGAAGGGGTGACTAGGCCATTAAAGGGCCTCACGCTACCCTGAGAGCTCCAAAGGCCTCGCCCTAATGGCTCAGTGCCTCTACTTGGACATCCTTGTGATGGCTCTCAGCTTGTCCTTACTCCTTGGGGACACAGCCGCCGACCCCATCCCGGAGAGCAGCGCACCGATCTCTTGGCCCTCCCCGGCTCCTGGTAAGGAGCACTTCCGCTATCTCAAAGTTGCCATAAGAAAATAAATACAAGTGACATTGTACTGGGCCAAAGCTCATTAGTTCGTTGTCCAGGCCTAATAAAGGAACAGAAGCGCAAATTATAGAGTTCAGCTTCAACACACGCTCTGTCACCCGAGATCAACGTACCGCGAGCCTGATCCCAATTGCTCCGAACTTGCTGTACAGTTCGCCCCCTCCCACCCCCTCCTCACGAGCAGGAGGTTGGGTGGAAAAATATAGTTCCAAAGGGAGTAATGATCAAGCTTTTCCTCTCGGAAGCCTGCGCCACCTCATTTCCCATCAGTAATCCCAATAAAATTAACGTCGTGGCTGCAATTGAAAAGAGGAGAACCCGCGACACTCCTGAAATAACACATTCTTCCTAGCAAAAGGTAAAAAGCAAAACGGCCCTTTGTTCGGCTAATTAACGAAGGCCCAACTCCGAAAGCACATGTGTTTGCCTAACTAATCACAAGCATGTTTCTTTCAAGGAATGTCATTTTCAGGAGCTACTGGGGTGGGGGCTGGAGAGAGGGACACCTCCCCCATAAGTCCTTTTCTTTTTCTTTTCTTTTCTTTTCTTTTCTTTCTTTCTTTTTCTTTTTTTTTTCTTTTCCTTGGGGGTCTCTCACTCTGGCCTGATCCAAGCAGCCCATCTTTCACACCTTTCTTCTCTTTTGCCCAACCCCAGAGGCCCAGTAGTAAAGGACCTCCGGCTACCCCAAAGCCAGACCAGCAAGTCACCAGGCGAGGGGGAAAAAAAGTTTTAATGACACAGATGCCATATTAAATGAGGCAGTTTTACAATTTACGTTGAATAGGACGCTAACTTATTACAAGTGTGTTATCAGAAGGACGATAAGATTTATAACTCGGAGAGTCAGCTTTGCGCCTTAATGACAATGGATGCAGGGGAGGAAATCTGTTCTGGATTAGAGGAGCTAGGAGTTCCTTCCCGGGTTTTCAAGTCTTTACGGATGCATCCAAGACGACCCAGACCCATACCAGCCTGGCCCTTTGTGTCTCCAGAAGGGAAGATTCTACCTTTCCTCTTTCACCAGGAAACTGGCTATGCTTGTGGCCTTAGCCCCTCGCTCAGTTTTTTTTTTTAACCCGAAGCGTGAAAGAGAAAACAAGAGAGAAAGGAGACTGAAGGGGTTGTGGGGATGAGAGTAGGGTGGCATACAGTCCTGAGCCCTCTCCTTCCCAGCAGGCGAACTCTTCCCCACTTTCTACACCATACAAAAGATAGCTTTCCCCTAAACCAATACAGTCAACAAACTTTAAAAAACCGGGGTCCTATTACAAACCAACGCCCAGCACTAACTACTTTAAAATTACTGCATAATTAGATTTAGTTGAATTTCACCATTAATTAGGCAGCCGCACTGCAGGGAGCCTTTGAAATCTGAGAAAATGGGAAAAATCATCTGAAGCACGTTTTTGAAACCCCAACTTCAATAAATTTTGACGGGACCTGGAATTCAGAAGACCTCCCTTTCCCTCCCAGGTGGTTGATAGGGTTCCCCAGGCCCAGGCTAGGTTTGGAACTGGACCGAGAAGACAACTTCCACCATCGAACCAGAGCGGATGGGTCCCAACTTAGGGTCTCTGAAGAGGACTGCAAAGACTTGCTGGGAGGCCCGTCTGTCCCTTTGCCTGCTCTTAAAACCTACTAGAGGAAGACATTCTTCCTCTAAAAATGAGTGTCAGCCAGTGGTGCAGTCCACGAGGGTTCTCACGTAACTGGGCCTTGCGACCACCCTCCTGGATGCGGCCCTAGGCCCTTCTAGGTTCTACTCCCTAGTTAAATCTCTGTCCGAAAAGCTACCTTTCCCTGAACTTTGATGAGCAAGTAGCAAGTTGTACCATGCAGACAGGGTTCGCAGCTCCCCCCCCCCCCCCGCCCCAGCAGGTCCCAGGCCCGCTGCAAGCCCAGAGCAGGCTTCGCTTTAATGAGCGCGGGGAACTGACCTAGGTCTGTAAATACTGGCTTCTCCCCCTCCCCCTATACCATTCAAACACTTAAGATCGTTTGTGGATACCAATTTTTATTCTTCTCGTTTGGTTCTGGGAGGAGAGGGGGACATGAAATCAACTCTCCTGAATATATGAGGGGGTTCCAAAAACAGAGGTTAGGTTTCTGGGTTACCAACATCTTTCCTACAAACGGTATTTGCTTTAATTACAGAATAATCGAGGACTGCTTTCACTTGCCAGCCAGAGTTTAAAAGAGGGATTTCTGCCTGTAGACCGAATGGCCCTTAGTCCTCCCCACAACACACATCCCTTTTTTCTTCCTTCTTTTTGGTAACCAATGTGTTTTCTATTACCCGGCCGTGCGGTGCCTGGCAGCCGGAGCTCGCGGTGCAATGGGAGACGCCATGTTGGCTCAGCTCATAGGACCAAGTCAAAAGCGAGCTTGCAGGCAGAGTTTTCACACGCTCGAGCTCCCCCTGACCGTCCCCCGCCCCCGCCCCCGCCCCCCGCCCGTCGCCTCTCGGTGCACGTCCCGGGAGAGCAGCTGGGCGATCTCGGCACCCCGGACTTTCCCGGGCTCCGGCCGAACACTGCGGCACTGGCGGTGGGGGCGGGGGGCGGGGGGCCAAGCACTTTCCCGGAGCCGCTGCCAACTCCGACCCGGTCCCAGGCGCCTGCCGACGCTACCACCAGGCCGTCGCCAGGGACCCAGCCCCGGACGCCGCCCGCTAACTTTGAGCCCCAGGCCCTGGTCCCCGCCACCAACACCCCCACCCCCCTCCCCACCCGTCCGGGCCAAGCTCTACGTGAAAGGCCGAGGCTGGGCGACCGCGAGCCGAGCAAACTGGCTAGAACCAACCCCGCCCCCCCCTTCCCCCGAAGCTCAATCTTCTCCCAGGTTTGTTTGAAAGTGGCAAGAAGGAGCGCTCGCCCCTCTCTCTCTCCTCGGACCATTGTTGCATTTCGCCTCTAACTGGGTTCTCTCACACCACCGAGCGCCAGAAGGAGGGGGAGTGGGGTTGGGAAAAGAAATAAAGCGAGCTCAGATCAGATGGAGGAGGGAAAAAAAAAAAAAAAACAGCAAGGAAAAAGAGACACTTAAAGGGAAAGAGTCGCCATGTTTAGCAGCCTTTTTTTTTTTGCCTTTTTTTTTTTTTAAAGATCTCGTCAATTTCACACAGAACGCACTCGCTGGGTCCCAGCCCTCGTCTTTTGTCTAATTCAGTCGCAGCAAAGATCTTTTGTTCTAACTCAGCGTGAAAAGAAAAACTTTCTTTAAATGCAATAAACTTAAACCGAACTCAAGACTCTAAACAGATCCTCCCCCAGCCACTCTAAAACGTATACAAGGGGTTTTGTTTTAACCCGCTGAAATTTTCTGAGTCCTGTTTTTCCTGCCTCGAAGACCCCCAAGCTCATCGCTGAAAGTTAGAGAGAGCAAGAGAGAGATTTTTTTTAACGCCTAGAACACATACTTAAAGCATAATAAAACAGGGACTGTCTTTTGCTTTGAAAATCATAAATTATAATTTAATGCCAATAATAATTTACAACAAATGGCTGTTTACAATAAACTAACACAAAACAAACAAGGAAAAGGGCCTATGTTTTACTTAGTAGAGAAAACTTCACACACTCAACATGGATAGCACTTGCAAGGGGAGGGGGATAAACCACCAACAAAACCTCCATCTAAAGGTCAGATGCTGTGCTGTAAAACATACTTCATATTTATAGATATGTACAGAGAGAAGAAGGTGAGGGTCAGAGGGAGAGCCCTGCCTAAATGAGGCAGAGTTTTCAGGTCTGTGTGTATGAACCAGAACTGAGCATCAAAGTTTAATGCACTTTGCAAAATGATCCCTTTCCTTCCACCTCTTTCATCAGCCCCCTCCCTCATTTTCAGATTAAACCACAACATGGTAAAAGCATTGTCAGGGAGGGGAGCTCGGAAAGTCTAAATAAGAACAAATTGTAGGCTCCCAGCACTGAGTTTTTCCAAACCAGGAAAGAAGAATAAGGGACTGAAACAAATTGTAGACTTTCCAGATCACTCAGCACACCCTGTAAAGTTTTTTTTATAGTCTCTCTCTCTCTCTCTCTCTCTCTCTCTCTCTCTCTCTCTCTCTCCTTTAAAAATTGGCTTCCAAGAATGAAGGATCCCAAGAGCAATGCAGACTGTACTTATACAATCTGAAATGTCCAAATGTCCATGGGTTTTTATGTACAGAACTCCAATGGAAAAGCTTCCCTTGACCTGTGGTCAAGCTCTCAGAGACTGAAGAGGGAGGGGGAGGGGAAAGGCAGGCCAACTGCAAGTTATCATATATACATAAAAAACAGACCCTTCATCGCTAGCAGCTACATCACTGTATTCAAAATCCTCTCAACAGCCACACTAGATGAGAACCACAGAATTTTTTTTTTTTTTTTAGAAAAATCACACTTACTTAAGGAAAAACTCATGGAGAACAACTGCCCTCTATTTACAGTGCTGTGATTAGCTTGCTTGAACAATCCTCTGCATAACTGTCAGAAATGTACAAAAGAGCATTTTTTTCTGATCATAAAATAGATACTGATCTCAAGATTTCTAATACTTTTCACAATACCCTTTCCTAAGCAGGCACTTATGTGTGACAAATATAAGGGCCTCTTTTTTTTTTTCCTGGAAAATCCATTTTTAATTAAAAGGAGGATTAGGTGAATGGGGGTGGCTTACTATATCAGTGTGGCACTTCCTAAAACCATAGATAAACCATTAACTTCGGCTCCCCCCACACACACCCAAATTAAACAGGCAAATACACTAGTCTACCTTTGAACAAACTGATTGAGGGGAGTAAACAAATGGGGCCCCGCTGGCTCAGCGAGGACTCACAGGGGCTCAACTCGATGGAAAGACAGTGAGTGGGGACAGCCAAGCAGGTTTCAGATATCAAATAATATTTTAATTTCTGAATACTTTCAATTTTCCTTGGAATATAACACACAAAGACTCGACCAAACAGTTCAGTTATTATAACTTTTACAGTATACAGAAATGTTGCACTTAAAAAAAAACCTTCAGTTTTTTAAAAACACAAACTGTAAACTCTAAGATACTGAATCAATCACGTTACCTATAAGTGCCAACAGTGTTATTTTGTCATGCTGATTTCAATGGTATTTTTTAAAAAGGGGAAATATCAACAATTATAATACAAAGGGCTTGCAAATATACAAACAGATATAGGATTCATAACAATTCAAGAACTAAGGGGGGGGGACCCAATTCAAATTACAAAAGTTCACTTTTTATTCAAAACCTCAGGTTGTGTCTTGGACACATTCCTTGGCTGCCAATAAATTCCACAGTTCCTTCTCTTTCTTAAAATATTTTTAAAAAGCTAGGTTTGTCTTGGTATGGGGAGGGGTAGGGGAAGCTGTGTTGCATGTGATCCTCCAGCTTGCTGATTAGAGTGCTCAACTTCACCTAAAAAAATTTGGCCACCACTTGTAAGTGCATTTCCATCATCTCTGAGTTGCCTTTTAAAGTTTTATGTCTTCCTATGATATTTTCATGGACTCAGTTTTAATTCTTGCAGAACATATATTTTAATGATACACAGTTTTTTAAGAAGCCAAGATTATATCAAAACTTATTATAGAACCACAGAAAAACTGGTTTGGAACCAGAAAAGTACAAAAAAAAAAAAACCAGCTAGAGGTACACAGACACAGGACAATTAATAATTTGGAAAAAAAAAAAAGACTTACTTTGTCCATTCTGCTAATTTTCTCCCAATCGCCTTAAATGCACTTTTAGCAATATTTTTCAAAAATTTACCAAAAAGAAAAAAGACTAATTTCCTTTTTATACAAAAATGATAAGTAGCAAGTTGTTCTGCCCAACACAGGAGTTTTCTTTTTTAATGCATTCTGTAAAAGTTCGTTTGACAGTCTCTCTCTCTCTGAAATTCACAGTCCATTAAATTCTTCCCCTCTTCTTTTAGCAAACTTGTAACATCCTTTCTTAACAGAAGGAAATTAAGCAAACAAAACCAGTCTTTTGCCTTTTCTTTCTCTCCTTCACTCCCCCTTCTTATTTTGATTTATTTATTTATTGAATTGCCATATACGGCCAGTTAAAACTGCTGCCGGACAGTAACATATCCCGGATGAGGGTTTCGATGGGGGTTTTACCTACCAAACGGACGAAAAACAATTGCTCTATGACTGAGGAGGAGACCGTGCGGAGGGAAGGGAGGCGAAGCAAAAGCTTTCCGAACCGCGTTGGCTGGTTGGGGTACTGGCTCCTGACGTACTCTTCCAAAGCACACTGGGACTTTTCCTGCAGGCTTTCCACATGGGCTACATCAGACAGACCACAGGCATCTGGAAGAAAGTTAAAAAAAAAAAAGTGGGGAAAGAGGAAGAGAGAGAATCCATCAGATTAAGAGGCCTGAAATGGGTCACCTGAGGTGCGCACACAGTGCTCTGTCGAAGTGCCCCATCCAGACTTGGAGCAAATGCCTAGACACTGAAAACTTCAAGGGGGAGAAAGAGGTGACAAAGCTTGAGATGGTCCTGGAGTGTTTACTTTAAAATAAAACACGCTTGGGTGCTACAGGCTTTCATTGCCCCAGTCCTCAGGCTGGGTCACTGGGAGGTCCAAGAAAAAGTACATTGGTGTATCTGGCCCTATTTAGTACACAGAACAGACAGACAAAACCAGTATCACCAATGCTTCTTCCCCCATCCTCTGAATTTGGCTTATTATATAGTGTGTATAGGGAGGAGGGGTGACAACCTGGCCCAGCTTGCAGTAATGGCGTCCAAGACCCAGCCTCAGATTCTCCCCAAAGAGAGGGACTCATTTTTCTCCAGTCTTTGAAACTGATTTAAGTGGCCCTTTAAAACTGATCTTGTCAGTTTAGCCTATTGAAGGGCAGCCATGCAAACTGTGATCTCTCTGTTCATTTGAGCTGTTTCTTTCCCCTCCTTTTCTTCTCTCTCCCTTTTCTCCCACCCCCCTTTATTTATTTTTTTTAAAGCCCAGGTCTCTCCAAGAAAGCATCCCCCCTCCCTGTTATCTTCAGGAAAACACTTTTCTTTTTTCTGATACGTGAAAATTACAATAGGTGCCTTTGAAATGAGAGGCTTCTTGGTGGAGGCGGTTCAGGTTGTGACCTGACCTTCCAGGGCTCCCCAGACAAGACTGGGGTTAACACATGCATATTGTGAATCATTAAAGCAGTTTTCACCACCACCTCCACTCCTACCACCAGAACACACATGCACCCTCCTCCGCTCTGCCCAGGACTCCATGTGTCTACAGATGCCTAGGTGTCTGTGGTCAGGAATGAAGAGATCTGTTTGTCTAGGACTTCTTCCCTCCTCACTGGTACTGTGTGTCTCCCTCTGCATCAGATAACAGGAACCTTTATCTCTTTGTGAGGCCATCTGCATTCTCCATACAGGCCTCCACATCTTCAAACAGTTATAAATTAAACTGTTTCGACAGTACCAGGCATTTCTTTCCTTGAAAGATCAGGGGGTAAAGGCAAAGAACCAACAATGGCACCAAGAAATTAACAGCCACCTCCACCATCTGAGGTTAGGAGAGGGGGGGTGAGGGCAGCTATGGGGTAGGTCTAGTGTGTGCCAGGCAAGCACTCTAGACATGAGAAGCCCATGAGGAGAAGAAACCCTCTCTATACAGCTCTGGCGTGGCCAGAGTGCTGCCCTCTGATTGATTATCTAAGACTTTGGAAGGTAGGGTTTAGGGTGACTGGGATGGTGTTCTATGTGAAAAACAGTAACTCATCCAAGAGAGCCCAATGAGAAGGAGCCTGCAGTAGGCTCAGCTAATGATCTGGTCCCCAGATTTCTTTGGACAACAAAGAAGAAATTGTAGTCCTTTCATCTGTCTGTCCTCTAAACTTACACATCTCTCCTAGCTTTCTCACTTAAAGATCTGGAGTGGGCAACTAGGTTCCAGGCCCCTGCCAATGTCCAAACGTTTGTTATTCTTAGTCAGGAACCCCCAGTCCCTTCTCAGCCATGACAAAGGAATCAGCTGACAACTTAGTGCAAGAATGTGAAGGGTGGGGGTGATTTCCACCCACCTGGGCTATGGCTGAACTGAGCCTGGAGGCAGCCAAAAGGCTCAGGTGTGGCCCGAAATGGAAAGCCAGACACTTTCAAAAATCATTTGGCCTCAAGAGTTAATGAATATCAGATCTATTACTCACACAGGTTAAACTACATGCAAACTAATTAGATTTCCTAATGCAGTCAATGACGGTTTTATATCTCCAGCAACATTCATATCCAGCCCAAGTTGGCACACACTGTGGCTTGCTTGAAAATTGCCTTAAGTGTTTGCCTGAACAGGGGAAGCCAGAGGCCAGTCTTCAGCCCCCTGCAGACATTCTTGGAATTATGGTAGTCCTTCCACCCCTCCTGCCCTTTCTGACAGCACACCCCTTCTCCTGGCAGTCTGCATTATTTTAATGAGAAGGCGATTTCGAAAACTGCTGCTCTCAGGTTAGGGATGCCTGGAGCCCCAACTCCTACTGAGTTCACAAGCAAACCTTCCCCCTGCAGGGACAAACTTTCTCCCACAGAGATGATGCCAGGGCTGCAATGTGCCCAGGGGGCATCTCCTTGAGGTCTCCGACAGGGTGCCAAAAAATAAAAAAAGAAGAAGAAGCAGCTGGAGCTTGAGATTCCCTGGGGGCCAACTAGGCCCAGAGGGCCTGGGCTTAGGGAGGAAGCCTACCAGGTTGGGTACTGAAAGAGAGGAAGGGGCCTAATGTCCCTCTGGGAGTCAGTATGTGGAGCATCCTTCTGCACACCAGGACCAGCCAGCAGTTATGATAAGTTCCCACTTCAACATACACTCTGCAGTTTGACCTTTTAAAGGGGAAATAGGGCTGGCCACTTTTCCAGGCCCTAACTCTGTCCTGGTAGTTCTTGGGTCCCTGGGAACAAGTCTCTATCCTACCTGAGGTGAAGAGGACTATGGCCTTGAGGCAGCTGTACTCGGCTGAATCGACGTGCAGTGCCTTGAGCTTCTCCACTTGCTCTTGGAAGATCCGTATGTGGTCCATAAAGGCGACCACCCGGTCGGCCGACATGGGCGAAGCGTGCAGGCCAGCAGCGGCAAGGAGCGGGGCGACATGGAGGGGCATGGAGCACTGCGCCGCATTCAACACGAACAGCTCGCTCCAGGTGAGGCGAAGAAGGGCCACCTGGTCCGTGATCTGCAGGTCAGGGAAGAAGGGGATGTTCCGGGCCCACTCAACGGCGCTGAAGAGCATCCGCGCGGCCAGTTCGCAAATGTTCTCGATGCCCATGATGTTGTTAGGCTGCATGCACTGGCTGCCGAAGCGAGACGTGGGGTAGGGTTCCGCGCGCAGCAGCAGGGAAATATATCCGGACAGGTACGAGTGGCAGTTGAGGGGGTCCCCGTTGGTCAGCGCGAACTGCCCGTGGGTAGGCTGGGTGGGCGGCATCCTGCCCCTCTGTACAGCTGCAGGGAGGAAAGAGGACACTTCACAGTTAATGATCAGCCTTGGTCTGGCATCTTTCTACAAGACCCCAACCGGTCCCAGGCCTTAGAACAGCGCCAAGAACCAGGCAGGCCTGCTACAGCCGGGCGTCCGGCAACCACTCCTCACAAATCACCTCCCAGGCCGGCTCTGACCGCCAGAGCTCAACACTTGCCTGAGAGGCCCTTCTGGGGCTGGTCTGCCGAGGACCCAGAATTGGTCACTTTGCCTGGGGGTCCCCGAAGCGGGATGTAGCATTCTGGGGGCACCTTTCTTTCTTCTTCCCCCTGTTTTTCAGCTAAACAGCTGATATTTCTTATTGATTGGAGAAGGAACGGGAGCGGAGCGTAGGGGGAGGGCGAGACGCTTTTTGTACAAGACATTAAGGTTTACCCCAGATGGCCAGTGGCCAACCCCCGAACGACTGTCCCCAAACCATGTAACCTCCACTCCAGTACAGGAGGAAAACCCCGGCGAGAGACAGAGTCTAAGTCCCGCGTCTTTGCCTGATCAATGAGCTCGGAGGAGGGGAGACGAGGGAGAAGAGGGCGGAGAGAGAAAGAGAGGCCGGCAGAGACGAGAGGAAGCCGGAGAGAGGCAGGGAGCCGGCGGCGGGCGCTGGCGGAGCCCGGGCAAGGCCCGTGACGGCCCGGGAAAGCCAGAGAGGCTGAGGCTCCTGCTGTTATCTGACTCTGAACCGAGTGAGTCGCTCTCGCAGAAACACAAAGAAACCCCGGCTTTGGCTCGCCCCAACCCGGAGCCCGCGCCCCGCGCGGAGCGCGCCATTGGTAGAGCACTGTTCCCGGCTCTGGGCGAATTTTATGTCACAAAGACCCAGCTGGTGCAGAGCGAAAGCAGCGGCCCAAGGTCCCTTGTCCACACTTTCCTACTCTCTACAGTGCTCTCTCTTCGTTTCAAAAGTGAAAGGAAAAAAAAAGAAAAGCAAGAGGTATTTTTTTTAAAGCAGAATGTTAATCCATAGAAGGGTCACATGAGTGCTGCCCAGGAGGCAGCGTTAATACGGCGAAGTGCATAAAATTGCCATTTGTAATTTGAACCTTCTGTACAAAAGTACAATCTCAGGTTGGTTTTTTTTTTTTTTTGAGAAGGTGGGGGTTGGGGAGAGGGGTAAGGAGGAGGGACATATGTTGAACATGCAGGAAAAGCAAGGAAAGAGAGAGAGAGAGAGAGAGAGAGAGAGAGAGAGAGAGAGGACTTTAAAACAACAACAAACAACAATCCATCCCTTGCAGAAAGGTGAACTCAATGAACTCTCAATCAATGCACAGGAAAGGAAATGCAGCCTGAAGAGAGAGTGGAGAAGGAAAGTCTGCTAAAGCGAGCGGACTGAAGGATGGGGGCTGGGGGTGGTCAGGGTTGCAGTGCAGACCCTGCTCCTAGTACCAAATCCCCTCTGGCTGCAACACGGAGGGCTTGGGGCTTCTGTGTCCTTACCCAGAGCAGGCTAGCCAAACGCACCCAGGGCCCCGGGACCGCGGGCGAAGGGGGGAGAAATGAGAGGCCGATACCTTCCCGTCTCATGCCCACTTTGAGGCACTTTTTGAGGCGGCAGTACTGGCACTGGTTGCGGTGGTGCTGGTCGATGGGACAGTTCCGGTTGGCGCGGCACGTGTAGCTCAGGTTCCTCCGCACGCTGCGCTTGAAGAAGCTCTTGCAGCCCTCGCACGTGAACTGGCCGTAGTGCTTGCCGCTCGACTTGTCCCCGCACACC